AATTTATCACCCTCATGTTATTCCAGAACACAAATGAAGATCTTTTAAATGAAATCTGAGTTTTCTGTCCTCCATTGATGGCCTATAACGGTCCAGAAAGGTAGGAAAGACATCATTAAAGTAATCCATGTGACTCCAGTGGTTTAACCTCAATGTATGAAGAGACGCGCATGCTTTGTGTGTGAGAAAAAAAAAAACAGAACAAAATATAGATCTTAGATGCAAGCTCACAAAACAACCACAACGCATGCATGTTGAGTTGACGTGAGGGCATGGATTACTTTAATGTTGTCTTCACTACCATGCTGGACCTTTAAAGTAGGTTGCATAGGCTGTCAATGGAGGGACAGAAAGCGCTCAGATTTATCTTCATTCGTGTTGTGAAGATGAACGAAAACCTTATGGGTTTGGAAAGACATGAGGGTGACTAATTAATACAAATTTCATTTTTGGGTGAATTTAGCCTTTAAAGGGTTTCAAAACAACAACAACAACGACGACAACAACAACGACGACAACGACGACGACGACATTTTAGTAACATTGACTGGTTCAAACTGACAAAGTCTACTGTAACTCAGATAATGGTTCTGTCCTATGAGCCCAAACCAAGGATAAATAAACATTTCCATAAGAGACTCCACATAAAAAAATAAATCTCAAATACCTCATGCACTCATCACTGTGAGACTTTATAGCTGCAAAGGGGAATTCATCTCCACATACAACACATTTTTGAGGTGGTCCAATCAACTCATCTCTGCTAGGAAGACTTGGCTGCAAGAAAACATCACAGCAAAATAGCATGGCATACATGTTTTATGTAAATGTTAAAAAACATTCCCTGTTTGAAAGTATGTAACTTACTGATTCAACTTCTAAGTTTCGTTGAAGTGGACGAATGAAAATGGTTGCATGACCAATTTGATTTTGAGGATCTTTCAAATACTTTACATGGTACCCCTCATTTGGACAGGGTATCAAGCTGAGATAACGGCTCCTTGTGTTTCCAGATATTTTTAGCAACTCAAACCCACCACCTTGTCTGAGTTTTGGAAAAGCCTCCACGATGACATCCTTAAATTTTTGGGGATCTGCATGGCATCCTTTAAGAATAATAATAACAAAAAGATAAAATGTAAGATACTAGGACAAATCTGACAGTTATCACTTATCTTTGACTTTCAGTTCAGTACAGTTTTGAAAGCTCCGGACAACTTTTGTTAAAATTTTAGTTAAATGACTACTGACAGACCTTACTATTTTTAAAGCAGGAATGTTTTAGAACAATATTTGCAACCAAACAGTTTTGGGGCACCACTGAGTTCCATAGTATTTTGTCGTACTATGGAAGTCAATGGTGCCCCAAACCTGTTTGCTGACACGCATTATTTGGATTATTTTTTTGTGTTTAGCAGAACAAAGAAGTTTATACAGGTTTTTAAAAATTTGAGGGCGAGTAAATAAAAGAATTTTCATTTTTTGGCTGAACTATCCCTTTAACAGTACAGACGATACATAAGAATTAATAATCCAAATGTGTTCAAGAAAACCTCACTTTTAAACAAACTCTAACATTCCAATAAATTGCTTTTTACATACCTCGAAAGGTGACACGTTTCTCCCCTAACCCAGCAGAGAACAATCTGTCTTTTGCACAGCGACTGGGTACTAAATCAGCATTTTTGTCATCAAGACAGCAGAAGTTATGCGTAAAGCTGCAGGATACTGCACGACTCATCACAGGCAAGCTTGTTCGTCTTGCAAGTCCTCTTCCTCTGTTGTAAGGCGTAAATAGTCTTGCAACTTCAGCTAGAAAGTGTAAGAAAAGTAAACACACCAGTCATCGTTTTAGAAGTGGTAAGGACAATAGTAACTGAATTGCAATACCATTTTTTCCTGACCTTTGTCAAATTGACAAGTTTAATAAAACTGGTCTTATTTCTTGCTTTTAGAACTTTGGCCAAAAAAAGCAAAAACACTACTGAACAATAACCACTAATTTCTATAATATTTTATTCGACATTTTCTTTATGACAATTTTATGATTTAAGTACTACAAACACTTGTGCATTAAATGTTTAATTTGCAGGTATGTAACAGAACTCATTTACAGAAGTTCATTCTTTATACCCTCATCAATCAGTTACCGTTTTTTTTTTTTAACCCAGTTGACAATCATGGGAAGAAGAACCGAAAAATACAGGTCCGCGTTTCCCAAAAGCGCCGTGGGCCTAGGGTAGGGAAACGCGACCCTGGATTGTTCCGATTTTCATAGAAGCCATTGGTGTTTAAGAAACGCAACCATTTCAGTTATTTAGAGTCAAGACTTTTTCCATGATTACAGATTAGTTATTAGACTAGAAACCAACCATCCACTGGGTGTCTGACTCTGGGTGTCATCACCCTAGGCTCTGACGTCGACGGTTCCAGACTCGATGACGACGATGCTGTGGGGGATCACATAAGTAGCTTCAGCTTCGTGTTTTTATGTCTGGAAAATTGTTTAAATATTTCATCATTAATGCGAATAACTTTAGGTGAAAATTACTTACAACTCTCCAGCTGATCTGCCACATCCCGTAGCAAACTGGACAACGAATTACTGCTTGCCGCCATTTTCTTTGAAAACTCAAATCTCTATCGCTTAGCTGGCCTGAGATTCTACGCGTGAGCTCTCAACCAATGATGCACTGAAGCTACACAAGGACCGCCTTCCTCATTTCCATGTTACACACGGAAAAGTAAAAATAAATGAATCAATAAATAAATAAATCTAAAATTAAATACATGTGGGAATAAATCATTCTAAAAAAAAAAAAAAGAATTCATAAATATATAAATAAATCTAAAAATAAATGTAAAAATAATATAAAAATATAAAAATACATTAAAAAAGAATTAGTGAAAAAATAAAAGTAATTTAAAAAAAAAAAATGTATAAATGTATAAAAGCAGAAAATAATAAATTAAGGGGGAAAATAATTAAAAAATGAATTTTATTAAAAATGAATCACATTTATTTTATCAAGTCGTTTATTCATTTATTTATTATCCCATTATCACACACATTTATCTATTTATTAATTAATATATTTATTCATTCATTCATTTATTCATTTTTAATTTCTGCAGGTTTGGTCCTCCATACTCCTCTGCCCAGTCAGCAGCATTTCTTAAATCACTATGAGTTTCTTGCAACATGGCAACATCAACTTTTTGTTGTTTAACCACCTCAAACATTTCAGCTCTTTTTTTCATTTCCCTTAAACCATTTACATTAATTGTTGCAATATTCACCTCACACATGTTTGGAAATAGCAAAAAAACATTGCAAAACTGCACACACACCCATTACATTGATTGTCATAATATTAAGCTTTCTCACTACCTTCATTAACATCACCAGACGAGAGTCTTTTCACTATCTTTTTTAATCGATATATCTCCTTGTTTGTAAACAAACCTTCTGACATGAAAAGCCTAGTTTTGTCAACAAACTGTTTTGTGTCGGGAAAATACTCGATTACACGCACCCCTCTTTTGTTTTTTGTAGCCCTGAGAAAGAGTTGAATATCTTCAGCTTCATAACTGCCGGTAGAAAAGTCACACTGAGACAAACTTATGCTAGAATCAGAGGACTCACTACCGCTTTCCATTCCATCGTCACAATAGACATCTTCCACATCTGCTTTCTTTGATTTAACAGCTTGAAAATCGCCAGCCTTTTTCCTCTTTGTTGGCACTTTAAATTGGCTCCGTTCTGCCTCCATTTCAATGCCATCCCAAAGCAAATCGGACTGCGAGACATTAACCGCTCCATCGCCTCTTTGCATATCTATCTCCATAACGGATTTAGAAATCGGAGTATCAGCATTGATAGCAGCTGAACTGCTTTTTTCAATCACGATCTCGGGGTTAATTACCTGAGCTATTACACTCTCACTCGCGGACAGACTCGTGTCATCTCTCTCTCTTCTTTTACCTGCCTCTGTCTGCGACGGAGTAGCGTTTGACGGTCCGGCCTCAGCCGACTCGCCAACATTACTCACACTATCATCAGACACTGACCTGTTTTCATTAGCTTTAGGACATGTGCGAATTAAATGGCCCACCTCCCTGCAATTGAAACATTTCATTTTTTCCGTTGTAGCGTAAATAACATAATCACAATCATCAATTTTAAGACGAAGTGACAAGTCGAGTTCTTCATCTTCTTTTAAGATCATAAAAAGAAAACGCCTAAACGATACCACATGTTTCAAGAGAGGGGACTTGCAGCCAACTGATATCATCTTGATAGGTGACACCAGTTTACCATATCGGGACATAATTCCCACTAAAGTTTCGTCACTTACGAAAGGCGGGACATTAGACAACAACACTTTCTTAGACGGCATAGAAAGCGGGAGTACAGGAGTAAAAAGGTTGTCGACAACTATACCAGTCTCCACTAACTCATTTGCTTTTTCAACCGAACTAAGAAAAACAACTGTGGCACTGTTCATCCTGGAGGCCGACATGATATGTTCATGCACCATGACCTCACCTACAGCTAAACAACAATCTTCCACACTCACCGCGGACGCCACTTTCACACCATGGCGCCACGTGAGATTACTCAAAACCTGTGACCGTGGGGCCGTCATGCTGCCCGCACAGTGAAACGGCAGCACGCGGCCCAACAAGTCAAATACGTATCAAACACTTAAAGACAAAAATCTCAAGCAAAGAAAGAAAAGAAAAAGGATTCACTCACAGTCACCACCCGCACTCGCACCACTCACCGCTCACACTCAACAGTCACACCAGAAGTGAGCGAGAGAGAGAGAGAGAGAGAGATCTACTGTCTGAAAGATTTAAGCATAAAATATTTACCTAAGACTTATTTTTCTTTGTAGATTTTGCTAAAGAACCTGCCAATAATATTTGTACATATGTATGCTCGCATGTATGTGTGTTGATCATTTTGCAATGCAGAATATTGCATAATTCTCTCATCTTGGTGAAACTTCTGTTTTTATTGTTTGTCATTTTATTTTACCGTAGGCAAGACGAGAGGGGTAATCCAGGATGCACAGGCAAGAATCAGAACACGAGAAAACAGGCAAGGCAAGACTATGACTAGACTATGGAAAACTCAAACAATGAGAAGGAATTGGCTCTGTAAAGTAGCTACGCTAAACAGCATAAACGCTCAAACAATACTCGGCAGTTTGAACAGGATCTGAGTGGGTGTTATACAGGTGCATCTCAATAAATTAGAATGTCGTGGAAAAGTTCATTTATTTCAGTAATTCAACTCAAATTGTGAAACTTGTGTATTAAATAAATTCAATGCACACAGACTGAAGTAGTTTAAGTATTTGGTTCTTTTAATTGTGAAGATTTTGGCTCACATTTAACAAAAACCCACCAATTCACTATCTCAACAAATTAGAATACTTCATAAGACCAATAAAAAAAAAAATTTTAAACCAGGATGGAGCCGGCGAAGCAGGTGGAGCTGAGGACCACCGTAGTAGAGAAGACGTGTCCAAAGATCCCCACAGCGGAGCAGAAGACCACCAGAGCAGGACAGAAGACCACCACGGAGGAGCAGACAAAGCAGAAGACCACCAGGTCAGAGCAGAAGACCTCCATGGTGGAGCAGAAGACCACCAGAGTAGGACAGAAGACCTCCACAGCGGAGCAGACATAGCAGAAGACCACCCGGTCGGAGCAGGTGGAGCCGGGATCCATGGCAGAGACTGGGGCCTAGGGAAAACTGAGACACAAAAGACAGACAGTGCATCTACAGCATCAAAGACTGAGGCAGGGAAGGCAAAAAGTTCATCCATAGTTTCCCTGGTGACAACTGAACAGGCAGACATTCATAACCAAGCTCACTGGCTGAAACTGGACAGGCTGACAATTCACCCTCAGGCTCATTAGTTGACAGGGAAGACAAACCGGCAGACAAATCACAGCAAGACTCATTCGTTAATACAGGACAGACAGACAGTTTATTAGTGGTCTCTGGGCTTGTGACAGGGCTAACAGGGCAGGAAAAAGGTGCATTTAAGGCCTCGGTCGTAACAGGCTGGGCTGAGAGCTCCCAGGGAAACCCCTTGGCTGAATCGGGGCAAAAATAAAGTCCATGTACTGTCTCTGTGGTTGTTACAGGCATGGATGGGAGTTCTAAGATGGCCTCTTTGGCCGACTCAGAGCAGGACATGAGTTCATAAATGGCCTCCTCGGCCGGTTCAGAGCAGGTCGAAAGTTCATAAATGGCTTCCATAGCCGTAATAGGACAGGCAGAGAGTTCACAGACGGCCTCCATAGCCGTGACAGGACAGGCAGAGAGTTCACAGACGGCCTCCATAGCTGTGATAGGACAGGCAGAGAGTACACAAACGGCCTCCATAGTCGTGACAGGACAGGCAGAGAGTTCACAGACGGTCTCTATAGCCGTGACAGGACTGGCAGAGAGTTCATAAATGGCCTCCTTAGCCAGAACAGGACAGAACGAGAGCTGATAAGTGAAAACCCCTGACACCTCTGGAGGTTCTGCAGCGATTGCCGCCACCTCTGGAGGTTCTACAGCAGTAACATCAGGAAACAAGGAGAGTTCAGTAATGGTCTCTTTGACAACTTCAGGGCAGGACGAGAGTTCATTATTGGCCTCCTCGGCCGGAACAGGCAGTTCACGGAGGTCGTCACTGGGCGCCACCACCGCGCAAGGAACTGAGGCAAGTACCGCCGTCTCGGAAGGTTCTGCAGCTTGCGCCGCCACCTCTGAAGAGACTGCAGCAGACACCATGGCCTCTGGGAGCATAGCGGCGGGCACCGCTACCTTGGAAGGTTCCGCAGCATAAGCCGCCAACTCTGGAGATGTTGTAGCCGGTGCTGCCACCTCTAGCAAATCGGCGGTGGTGTACACGGCCCAGATACACCATAAAGCAACCCCCCACACGGGAAGTGCTGCAGACAGGGGAAAGAGTTCATGAGCGGGAGGACTAGAGCGATTTGGTTTGGGGATACCAGCTGCGTGATGTTACGTGACTCTGGATGATCAGCTGTGATGTGACGTGACTCTGGATGAACAACTGTGATGTGACGAGACTCTGGGCGAACAGCTGAGATGTGGCGAGACTCTAGAAGATCAGCTGAGACATGACGAGGCTCTGGCAGATTAACTGGGACATGACGAGGTTCTGGCAGATCAGCTGATACTTGACTTGACTCATGAGGATCAGCTGTAACTTGACTTGACTCAGGAATGGAAGCTGTGACTTGACTTGACTCATGACAATCAACTGTGAACTTGATTCAGGAAGATCAGCTGTGACTTGACTTGATTCATGACGATCAGCTGTGACTTGACTTGACTCTTGAAGATCAACTGTGACTTGATTCGATTCAGGATTGGCAGCTGTGACATAACGGGGCGCTGTTGAGTCCGCCATTTTGAGATCAGGCTCTGCTGTCGCCGCCATTTTGTGAGCGTGCTCTAGTGCGGCCGCCGTTACACGAATGAGTGCGGGGTCGCGTTCCGCCGCGACACCCACAGTGAATAGAGAGCCAACAGTCAACAAAGCATAATTCAAAAACTGGCTGAGTGACGAACGCGGACCCTCGCATCTAAGCTTAGACTGAAGAGGATGATTCACGCCATCACAAAAAAACTCTATTAAAATAATGTCAGGTAAATCCGAGTAGTGAGCAATGGCTACAAACTCTCGAATATAAGTCTCCAAAGAATGTGTGCTTTGTTTAAGGGCTAATAAAATCCTTGCAGTGTCCATACCTGGCCCATGTCC